TGATGGAGCATGTCTGCAAGGATATGAGCAAAATTACTGGGATCTAAATATGTTGTACATAGTTATTCCTGTCAAAGGGATAAGGAGTTGGTCTCACATATGTACTGACTCAGCAGATAACAATAATTTGGAAACTTTTTGAGAAGCTTTGTAGTTATATACACACTGTAATTACTCATAATACTATTAAATGCAATATAACAATTTAATACATGGAGAAGCTGCCTTACTAAACTATTGAAATAAGCATTGAAAACTCTGAATGTGGCTGGCAAGATGGCCGAACAGGAACAGCTCTGGTCCATAGCTCCCAGTGAGATCAACACAGAAGGCAGGTGATTTCTGCATTTACAACAGTGGTACCCATTGCGTCTCATTGGGACTGGTTAGACATTGGGGGCGTCCCACAGATGGTGAGCCAAAGAAGGGTGGGGCATCACCCCACCTGGGAAGTGCAAGGGGTTTGGGAAATCCCTCCCCTAGCCAAGGGAAGCCTTGAGAAATTGTGCCTTAAGGAATGGTGCATTCTGGTCCAGATACCACGCTTTTCCCATGATCTTTGCAACCTGCAGACCAGGAGATTCCCTCAGGTACTTATGCCACTATAGGGCCCTGGGTTTCAAGCACAAAACTGGGGGATCATTTGGGCAGACACCGAGCTAGCTGCAGGAGTTTTTTTTTTTTTTTCATACCCCAGTGGCACCTGGAACCCCAGTGAGACAGAACCCTTCACTCCCCTGCAGAGAGGGCAGAAGCCAGGGAGCCAAGTGGTCTGACTCAGAAGGTTCCACCCCCAAGGATCCCAGCAAGCTAAGATCCACTGGCTTGAAATTCTCACTGCCAGCACAGTAGCCTGAAGTAGACCTGAGAGGCTCGAGCTTGGTGGGGGGAAGTTTGAGTAGGCAGTTTTCCCCTCATAGTATAAACAAAGCCTCCAGGAAGTTCAAATTAGGTGGAGCCAACTGCAGCTCAGCAAAGCCACAGTAGCCAGATTGCCTCTCTAGATTCCTCCTCTCTGGGCAGGGCATCTCTGAAAGAAAGGCAGCAGCCCAATCAGGGGTTTATAGATAAAATCTCCCTGGGACAGGGCACCTGGGGGAAGAGGCAGCTGTTGGTGCAGCTTCAGCAAACTTAAACATTCCTGCCTGCTGGCTCTGAAGAGAGCAGCAGATCTCCCAGCACAGTGCTCCAGCTCTGCTAAGGGACAGACTGCCTCCTCAAGTGGGTCCCTGACCCCTGTGCTCCATGACTGGGAGATACCTCCCAGCAAGGGTTGACAGACACCTCAAACAGGAGAACTCCGGCTGGCATCTTGTGGGTGCCCCTCTGGGACGAAACTTCCAGAGGAAGGAACAGGCAGTAATCTTTGCTGTTCTGCAGCCTCTGCTGGTGATACCCAGGCAAACAGGGTGTGGAGTGAACCTCCAACAAACTCTAGGTAGACCTGCAGCAGAGGGGCCTGACTGTTACAAGGAAAACTAACAAACAGAAAGGAATAGCAACAACATCAACAAAAAGGATGTCCACACCAAAACCCCATCCCTAGGTCACCAACATCAAAGACCAAAGGTAGATAAATACATGAAGATGAGGAGAAACCAGCACAAAAATTCCAAAAACCAGAATGCCTCTTCTCCTCCAAAGGATCACAACTCCTCACCAGCAAAGGAACAAAACTGGATGGGGAATGAGAGTCCAACAAATTAACAGAAGTAGGCTTCAGAAGGCGGGTAATAACAAACTCTTCCAAACAAAAGGAGCATGTTCTAATTCAATGCAAGGAAGCTAAGAACCTTGAAAAAAAGGTTAGAGGCATTGCTAACTAGAATAAACAGCTTAGAGAAGAACATAAATGACCTGATGGAGCTGAAAAACACAGCACAAGAACTTCATGATGCATAAACAAGTATCAATAGTGAAATCAATCAAGCGGAAGAAAGGATATAAGAGACGGATGATCAACTTAATGAAATAAGGCATGAAGACAAGATTAGAGAAAAAAGAATGAAAAGGAACAAACAAAGCCTCCAAGAAGTATGGGACTATGTGAAAAGACAAAGACCAAACTTGCATTTGATTGGTGTACCTGAAAGTGACAGGGAGAATAGAACCAAGCAGGAGAACACTTTTCAGGATATTATTCAGGAGAATTTCCCTAACCTAGCAAGAAAGGCTGACATTCAAATTCAGGAAATACAGAGAACACCACAAAGATACTCCTCGAGAAGAGGAACTCCAAGACACATAATCATCAGATTCACTAAAGTTGAAATGAAGAAAAAAATGTTAAGGGCAGCCAGAGAAAAAGGTTGCATTACCCACAAAGGGAAGTCAATCAGACTAACAGCCAATCACTCTGCAGAAACCCTACAAGCCAGAAGAGAGTAGGGGCCAATATTCAACATTCTTAAAGAAAGGAAATTTCAACCCAGAATTTCATATCTAGCCAAACTAAGCTTCATAAGTGAAGCAGAAATAAAATCCTTTACAGACAAGCAAATGCTGAGAGATTTTGTCACCACCAGTCCTGCCTTACAAGAGCTCCTGAAGGAAGCACTAAACATGAAAAGGAAAAACCAGTACCAGCCACTGCAAAAACATACCAAATTGTAAAGATCATCAACACTATGAAGAAACTGCATCAACCAACAGGCAAAATAACCAGCTAGCATCATAATGAGAGGATAAAATTCACACATAACAATATTAACCTCAAATGTAAATGGGCTAAATGCCCCAAGTAAAAGACACATACTGGCAAATTGGATAAAAAGTCAAAACCCATTGGTGTGCTGTATTCAGGAGACCCATCTCACTTGCAAAGAAACACATAGGCTCAAAATAAAAGGATGGAAGAATATTTACCAAGAAAATGGAAAGCAAATAATAATAATAATAATAATAAAAAGCAGGGGTTGCAATCCTAGTTTCTGATAAAACAGACTTTAAACCAACAAAGATAAAAAAAAAAGAAAAGAAAAAAATTACATAATGGTAAAGGGATCAATGCAACAAGAAGAGCTAATGTCTTAAATTTATATGCACCCAATACAGGAGCACCTAGATTCATAAAACAAGTTCTTAGACACATACAAAGAGATTTAGACTCCCATGCAATAGTAGTGGGAGACTTTAACACCCCACTGTCAATATTAGACAGATTGATGAGACAGAAAATTAACAAGAATATTCAAGACTTGAACATAGGTTTACTTAAATGATGAGTGGCTCACTATGTTTGTACAAACATAGTACAAAGTGTTTGTACAAACAACATGGTTTATGCGGAATATCTACTTTCTGTCTAGGAGTCTGGAATTTTGATATATGCTAGGAAGAAGAGCCCCACTTGATCATTCTCCCAGAAAAACCCTGGGTGTTGAGTCTCTAGTGAGCTTCTCTGGTTGACAACACTTTACACGTGTTTTCTGTTACTGGAGGAATTAGGCATGTTCTGTGTGACTCCACTGAGATTAGATGCATGGGGCTTATACCTAATTTCCTGCAGTCTTCACCCCATGTACCTTTTCCATTCCTGATTTTGCTTTGCATCCTTCACTTTGATAAATATTATCTGTGAATGCATTATATGCTGGGTCCTGTGAGTCTTTCTAGTGAATCACCATACCTAGGAGTGGTTGTGGGGACCTCTGACATGCAGGATTGATTAAGCTGTCTACATTAAGCCATACAGGCTTGGCGCGGTTGCTCACTCCTGTAATCCCAGCACTTTGGGAGACCAAGGTGGGTGGATCACGAGGTCAGGAGATCGAGACTATCCTGGCTAACACGGTGAAACCCCGTCTCTACTAAAAATACAAAAAAATTAGCCGGGCGTGGTGGCAGGTGCCTGTGTCCCAGCTACTTGGGAGGCTGAGGCGGGAGAATGGTGTGAACCCGGGAGGCGGAGCTTTCAGTGAACTGAGATCGCGCCACCGCACTCCAGCCTGGGAGACAGAGCAAGACTCTGCCTCAAAAAAAAAAAAAAAAGAAAAAAGAAAAAAAAAAAAAAGACATACAGATTCTACATAATTTCTTGATACATTGTGTGTGAATAGAATTATGCTAAATGAAACCGAGACAAGTAACCTAGCCCTATATTAAGAGACTCACAATATGGTGGCTGTGTCTGCATAGAGAACTATATAAAAATAACATTTAGGTCAGGCGAGGTGGCTCGTGCCTATAATCCTAGCATTTTGGGAGGCTGAGGTGGGTGGATCACTTGAACTCAGGAGTTCAAGACCAGACTGGGCAACACGGCAAAACTCCATCTCTATTAGAAACACAAAAATTAGCTGGTCATGATGGCACACACCTGTGGTCTCAGCTACTTGGGGGGCTGAGGCAGAAGGATCACTTGAACCTGGGAGATCAAGGCTACAGTGACCTGAGATGGTGCCACTCCAGTCCAGGTGACAGAGTGAAACCCCTGCAAAAAAAAAAAAAAAAAATATATATATATATATATACACACACACACACACACACACACACACACACACACACACACAAAATATTATTAAATTAATTGAGTCAGAGCAAAAACAAGAAGCTTATTTCTTTAGGGGTTTCAAAGATGTAGACATCGTATCTTGTTCGGATTATCAGGAAAGCTAGAGGCATGTGGGTCAGCTTTAAATTAATAAGTGGGTCTTGACAGAATATGATACCTGGAGGTAGAGGCAAGGAGAGTTTTGGAAGGCAAGGGAAATGGATAGAGCGCATGCTGAAAGAAGCAAAATATAGAGTGTATTAGAAATAAAATAGAATAATATTTTATTTGGCACAAATTGGAATTTTCAAATGCTCTTGGTTAAAATCCTAATAATTTGAGTGCCTTATTTATAATTCCGTTTTATGTAAAACTTATAGATTATTATAGAAAGACCATAAAACTTCCATGGCATTTTACAAGTGTTCCTCTTAAACTCAGGCACAGAATTTTTGCTTTACTGGTTCGTAATTATGTTTTTCTTTTCTGTCTCTTCTTTGTTAAGGTTCATCATGAAGGAGAAATGGGACACAAACTCTTCAGGAAACTGGCATCTCATCTGGAGTGTCAATGACACAAAGGATCATCTGCACTCAGATATTAATATTACCTATGTGAACTACTATCTTCACCAGCCTCGAGTGGCAGCAATCTTCATTATTTCCTACTTTCTGATCTTCTTTTTGTGCATGGTGGGAAATACCGTGGTTTGCTTTATTGTAATGAGAAACAAACATATGCACACAGTCACTAATCTCTTCATCTTAAACCTGGCCATAAGTGATTTACTAGTTGGCATATTCTGCATGCCTATAACACTGCTGGACAATATTATAGCAGGTATGTTGACTTTTGTGCAGTTCGAAGATAATATGAAATATTTGTCCCATATTTCGGCAGCCATTGGCAGGGCTGCTCATTCTTTTGTTTATTATATTCTGAAGGAGTAGACGGACAATAAACAAATAGTGATATAATTAGAGAATGAGAAGGATTCTGGAGGAAAGTAAAAGTGATATAATAGAAACAGAAAGTGGAGGCTGCTATTTTTATGGAGTATTCACTGGAGGTCATGAGAAAATAAGATTTAGTATGTCTTACCTGAAGCCTTTGAATTTTCTTAATAAAATTCAGGGCACATATAAGATGATAGAACTGTCACTATGAACTGTAAGGTCCAAAGAACTGATACATCTGATTTGAGTTAATGTAATATCTTCAATCTAACGTAAGTAGAAATTTAGGCCCTCATGTGGTTAGCTAGAGAGATTTCCAACAGTTTTTGAGAGAAGCTGCAACAATCTTAATGATTTTCAAAAAGTGGTAGTTTATGTGTGCAATATAAGTAAGTTTACATTGTAAAGCTTAGGGTAGCACCCTATAGTACTTCTGGGCCCACAAAAGTACTTTACCTTACTACGCAGATCTGAGTTTTTGCGATGTTTATCATTTTAAAAATTTCTGTTGAGGATGTGATGAAAGGACCGTTCCTTTGACCCCTTCACGGGACTGGTGAAGGGGCGGTTCCTTTACTCCCAGTTTAGCACTGCCTTACATGCTCCTGAAGTGCAGGAAAAATGTATCTCCAGCTTCCAATACACTTTTTGTACACAATACCAGCTTAATAAGTATCTGTTGTGTTCATTAAAGAGCAGTGCTCACAATATTCACATTCCAAATCTATGTAATAAAAAAGAACATCAAAAGAATATCAAATATATTTAGAACAGCATGAGCTATAACAAAGTTCATACATTTTTACAGCATTCAGCATCAATTTACTGAAAGATAGGAAAAGAGATTTCTCTTAAGAGTTTTCCTGTTTCCTTCCTTTCTCTGGAGTGGGACTCAGGGAGAGTTCAGAGCACCAGTTCTGTCAGTCACATACTGCCTAGATCTGCGTTTTTGTGATGTTTATCATTAAAAAAAATGTTATCGAGGATGTGATGAAAGGACCATTCCCTTGACCCCTTCGCGGCACTGGTGAAGGGACGGCTCCCTTACTCCACCTGCAACTCTCAAGCCCCTTGTGGGAGGGGGAGCATGCAGGTGAGCGGGTGCAGGAGCTAGGGCAAGTGCTTTTGGGTGCCAGCAGGAACTAATCCTGTACCAGCCCCCATGACTGTGTCTAGCAGTTGCCTGCGACCCCTGGAAGTCCAGAGAGCAGACAGCTAAGTGTTAACCAGCTCAGTGGAGGGTCAAGGTGACAGCATTTGGCACCTGCCCTCTGGGTACCTGAGTTCCTGTCTGGCATCCAGGAAGAACCAGGTCGCATGAATGAATTGAAGGGTGGCAAATGTGGAGAATTTTACTGAGCAGTGGAAGTGGCTGTCAGCAGGATAGAGAGCTGGAACAGGGATGGAATGGAAAGATGATCGATGGTCTCCAGCTGAACTCCTCTCCAACCATAGTCTCCAATGTCCAGCTGCTTTTCTTTTCAATGTTCAGATGCTTCTTGTCTTCTCTCCTCTGCCGCACCACCTGCTGCTGTGTCAGTGGAACCTGGGATTTTTATGGGTATAGGATGGGGGGCGTGGCAGGGCAGGGTGGTTTTGAAAAAGGCAACATTCAGGTGGGAAAACAGGATTGCATGTTCTCACTTAGAGCCACAAGGTCCAAGCTTGAGGGTGGAGCCGTTGCCAGGGACTCCGCCCTTTTCTAAATAGTATTTCCTTGCCTCACGTCCATATCAGTTACATTATCAAGACACCATGCCAGACAAAAAAAAGGTGTACAAATTTATAAAAATTATTGTTATCACTCTCAGGCAAGTATTTTTTAAATTAAACTTCTATTTTTAACTCAGGGGTACATGTACAAGTTTATTACATAGGTAAACTTGTGTCATGGGGGTTTGTTGTACAGATTATTTTGTCACCCAGGTATTAAGCCTAGTACCCATTGGGTTTCTTTTCCTGAGTCTCTTCGTCCTTACTCTTTCTACCCTCCAATAGGCCCCAGGGCATGTTGCTCCACTCTATCTCATCATTAGCTCCCACTTATAAGTAAGACCATGTAGTATTTGGTTTTCTGTTCCTGCATTAGTTTGCTGCAGATAATGGCCTCCAGCTCCATCCATATTCCTTCAATGAACTCATTCTTTCTTATGGCTACATAGTATTCCATGGTGTATATGTACCATATTTGTTTAATTCATCTACCATTGATGGGTATTTAGACTGATTCCATGTCTTTGCTATCGTGAATAGTGCTGCAATGAACATACACATATATGTGTCTTTAAAACAGAACAATTTATATTCCTCTGGGTATATACCTAGTATTGGGACTGCTGGGTTGAATGGTAGTTCTGTCTTTAGGTCTTTGAGGCATTGCCACATTGTCCTCCAGAATGGTTGAACTCATTTACATTCCCACCAACAGTGTAAAAGTGTTTATTTTTCTCCATGATTTCACCAACATCTGTTATTTTTTGACTTTTAATAGTAGCTACTCTGACTGGTGTGGGGTGATATCCCATTGTTTTTTATTTGCATTTCTCTAATAATCCGTGATGTTGAGCTTTTTTTCATATGTTTGTTGGCCACATGTATGTCTTCTTTTGAAAAATATCTGTTCATATCCTTTCTTTGCTCACTTTTTAATCGGATTGTTTATTTTTTGAAAATTTGTTTAAGTTTCTTTTAGATGCTGGATATTAGACCTTAGTGAAATGCAAAGTTTGCAAAAATTTTCTCTCACTATGTAGGTTGTCTATTTACTCTGTTGATATTTTCTTTTGTCATGTGGAAACTCTTTAGTTTAATTATTAATAGATTCTCTTTGTAAATTTTTGCATTTGTTGTGATTGCTGTTGGTGTCTTCCTAGTGAATTTTTTGCCTGTTCCTATGTCCAGAATGGTATTGCCTAGTTGTCTTCCAGAGTTTTCATAGTTTTGGGTTTTACCTTTAAGTCCTTAATCCATCTTGAGTTAATTTTTGTACATGGTATAAGGAAGGGGTCTGGTTTCAGTCTTCTGCACATGGCTAGCTGTTTATCGCAGCACCATTTATAAAATAGGGAATCCTTTCCCCATTACTTGCCCGTTGTTTTTGTCAGTTTTGTTGAAGGTTAGATATTTGTAGGTGTGTGGTCTTGTTTCTGGATTCTCTATTCTGTTGCATTGGTCTATGTGTCTGTTTTCGTACTAGTACCATGTTGTTTCAGTTACCATAGCCTTGTGGTATAGTTTGAAGTTGGGTAACATAATGCCTCCAGCTTTGTTCTTTTTATTTAGGATCACTTTGGCTACTCAGGCTCTATTTTTATTCCATATGAATTTTAAAATAATTTTTCTAGTTCTGTAAAGAATGTCATTGGTAATGTAATAGGGATAGCATGGAATCTATAAATTGCTTTGGGCAGTGTGGCCATTTTCATGATATTGATTCTTCCTATCCATGGGCATGGAGTGTTTTTCTATTTGTTTGTGTCATCACGAATTTCTTTGAACAGTGTTTTGTAGTTCTCCTTGTAGAAATCTTTCACTTCCCTGGTTAATATTCCTAGATATTTTATTCTGTTTGTGGAAATTTTGAATGGGATTGAGTTCCTGATTTGGCACGCGGCTTGACTGTTGTGGATGTATAGGAATGCTAGTGATTTTTTTACATTGATTTTTTTTTATCCTGAGACTTTTAGGAAAGTTATTTTGCCAACAAAAAGTGCTCTCAATATTTTATCCCATACATACTTTAAATTACATTAATTATTTTAAAGTTCTTGCATACAAATTACCCATCCTTGGCCAGGCACGGTGCCTTGCACCTGTAATCCCAGCATTTTGGGAGGCCAAGACGGATAGCTCACTTGAGCCCAGGAATTCAAGATCAGCCTGGCCAACATGGTGAAACCCCATCTCTACTAAAAATACAAAAATTAGCCTGGTATGGTGGCATGCACCTGTAATCCCAGCCACTCAGGAAGCTGAAGCATGATAATCACTTGAACCCTAGAGGCAGAGGCTGCAGTGAGCCGAGATCGCCCACTGCACTCCAGCCTGGGTGACAGAGCAAGACTCTGTCTCCAAAAATAAAAAAATAAAAATTACCCATCTTTAGCTCTTTGTTTGCATTCTCAGGAGGCAGCTGCCTTTGGCAATTTTTGCTTTTATTTTTTTGTAATTACTAATATATTTCTAAATAACATGTTTTCAATATTTTTTCTTCAAATTCTCATAGACGTAAATTGAGTTGTAAACTTTCACCACATCAGTACAAACATACATTCATACTCTTCACCTTCTCGCATTCTCCTGGTATAATTATGCCACAATTTTTGTTTGAATCAACATACAGAATATACATTCTTATTTTACATATATCTTATCCCTGCTGAGCCTTGGAAAATGCTGTATCAATTTCTCTCTTATAAAATGTTTCATTTTCCTAGATTTATTAAGGGTATATTTTGATTTGCTTAGTTTGGGTGTGTACCCATTATTAATGCATCCTCAAATTCGCTTCCAGAAGTGTTACTCTCTTGCCAATAGCTTTAAACATATCAAGTATCTATAAATTTACCTGCAGGTACCTCTCCTGGTGTTTTCTGTTCTCTTGTCTTTATAGGAACACCTTACTCCCAGGGCAGGGCAGCTTCTGCTCTGGGATACCCCTTCGCTGATACCTGACAACTCTCTTCACCTCTCTTTGTGGTCAATCCCATTTTCTGGATGCCATGTCCACTTCTCTTTTTTTGTTTATTCCTTTCTGAGGAAATGTTGGAGCTCTTATATGTCTGCAAGTATCTTTATTCTGCCCTCACAATTAGTTAACTGTATAAAGAAGTCTAGGTTGGAAATTTCTTCTGTCAGAATTTCAAAGGAATCTCTCTATTGCTACTGCTGTAATATATGGTATTACTGCTGAAAAAAATATGATATTTAATTCTTTCTTCTTTTGCCCATGATTTGTATTTTGTTTTTCTTATGGAAAGCTTTTAGAACTTCCCTTTATCCCTAATGTTCTCAATTCTCATGAAACTATGCCTTGAAGTAAGCCTTTTTATTTTGTATTTATTGTGCTGGACATAAATTAGGGATTTTCAATCTGAAAAATGAGTGGCCTTTAATCTTAGGGAATTTTCTTGTGAAGCTATTTTCTGTTTTTCTTTCTTCTACTCATATTAATCAGATATTAGAGATTCTGGATTGCTCTTTTTTTGTCATCTTTTTACTTTAAATTTTTGCCCCTCATTCTTCTATTTTCAAAGATTTTCTCAGCTTTCTCTTTTAAATTTTATGTTGAACTCCTCAATACGGTTACCATATCTTAAATATTTTGAGTTATTTTTATTTTCTGCATATTTCTGTAGTTCCCACCATAATACAACAGTATCATGATATAAACAGTATCATGCACATGTTTCATGGACAAAATGCACTATATCTCTGGGGTTGTAATATTTGTTTCTGTTTTCTATTTTTCATATCTCTGACTTAATTTGGTTTTCCTATTTTCCTTCCTATGTGTGTTAGTCTTTTTCTTTTATGTTTGACATTTCCCTAGTGTTAACTGTTTATTTTTCATTGCATTTTAAAAATTCTTTTAATTTGTTTTCTTTTTAGTTAATATGGGTACATATGTGTATATTTATGGGATACATATGATATTTGATATAGGCATATAATGTGTAATAACCATATTAGGATAATAATCATATTAGGGCATTTGGAATATCCATCACCTCAAGCATTTATCATTTCTTTACATAAGAACATTTCAATTCTACTCTCAGTTATTGCTAAATATACAATAAATTATTCTTGACTGTAGTCACTCTGTTGTGTTATCATATACTAGCTCTAAGGCTGGGTAAGGTGGCTCATGCCTGTAGTTTCAACACTTTGGGAGGCCAGCGTCAGAGAATTACTTGAGCCTAGGAGTTCAAAACCAGCCTGGGCAACATAGTGAGACCCCATCTCTACAAAAACTTAAAAAAAAAAAAATAACTGGTGTCGTGGACTGCACCTGTATTCCCAGCTACTCAGGAGCTTGAGGTGGGAAGATTGCTTGAGCCTGGGGACAGGGTGGTGGGGTAAGTGGAGGGGTTAAGGCCACAGTGAGCCATGATCACACCACTGCACTCTACCTTGTCTCAAAACAAAGAAACAAACAAAACAAAACAAAATAAAATATCACCAAAAAAAAAAACAAAAAGACTAGATCTAGTTAACTGCTTCTTAGCTTCCGTATTTCAGAGTGAGGCATAGTGTGGCTGCCTGGAAGTTCTGCATGCCTGGAGGTTAAGGTTAGGACCACTGTCCACTTCATTAGTCTGGACTATTCATTGGGAAATTCACAATTGTCAAAATCTATGTATCAGTATTATTGAACAGGCCACTTTTTCCAGAAGGAGATTTTTCTAACGTACTGCCATAGGAATGTAGGGCTGGCTGTTACATTCCACATTGCCATGCAGTGCCGCGGTATACTTTTGCTTAATCCTTCTGCATCACAGTGGCACTCATTACCCCGCACCTGGCAACTCGGGGTTTAGAGTACTTATGCTTCTGCCTCCTCAGAGAGTAAACCTCCATACTTCTACCAACATGGGGGAAAAACCAGTGGCATCTAATTGGATTTATACATAATTTCCACCAATCATGTTGTTTTCTCAACCTCCCATTTAGTAGTATCTGGCACTTTAATTTCTAAGGATTTATGCTTTTTTATCCTACACCTATCATTTCAGTGGAATTGAGGGAGGGAGATAAGGTAAAATATATCCTTAATATTCCATGTCCGACCAATGGCTACACACACTTTTGTGCATTTTTGTTGACAAATAGTACTACTACACGCTAACACATTTTAGAACTGAAAGAGACATATTCTCTTTTGGTTGCCACTCACTAGAGTCACTCAAGCGTTTCTTTTAATATGATCTGAATAGGTGACTTTTAAAAGATATACTTGAATTATTTAGGTTATTTAAAAACACTTTATGGGTAAGAATATTTTGTTTTGGAAAATAAATTGCAGAAAATTTTAAAAAATAAATTTTAAAACTCTGAGAAATGCATAATTTTCATCCTTTGAGAAATGAGAATATTTGCTAGGAGAAGAATATTGTTCCTTTTCAAGTAATAGCAGATGGGTGTTTAGAATATCAAACTACTACAATAATTTTATTAATTTCTTTTATAAACTATACAGTAGCTAAGGTTTAGTAGGAAAGTAATACTTTTGTTCATGCAAAGTGCTCTTTATTCTGGATGTGTCTCTGGGGTAAATTGTCTCATTTCATTCTATATTAATAAATACAGTTTATTCTGTATGTAACTCCTGATTCCTCATAATTTATGGGGTGCCTTTCCAAACTAGAAAATCGGCATTCTGTTTATTCATTTAAAGGGCATTGCTGCATCAGAGTCAATGGTTTAGACTCTGGAGTCTTACTGCCCAGGTTCAAATCTTTAAAATGCTCCTAACTAGCTGTGGCAAAGTATGTAATATTTGTTTATTTGTTACCTCATCTACATTGTGATGAAAATAACAAAGCCTTCAAAAGCTTGTTGGGAGGGTTAGATATGTCGATAGACAGAGACCACTTACAGTGCCTGGAATGTGGTAACTACTATTAAGTTTTGACGTTATTGTTAGTGTACTGAAAAACAGAGCTCTGGAGAGATTAGGGAAAATACTGAGAAACATTGATTGTTCTCTTCCTATCATGCAGAAAACAGTTGCGTGAGTCTTGTTTCCATGCCTTTCTATTTTTATTTTCAGTGAGATTGTGAAAATATGACCTTTTGAAAGACTATTTCATTTTCCTTTCAGGATGGCCATTTGGAAACACGATGTGCAAGATCAGTGGACTGGTCCAGGGAATATCTGTTGCAGCTTCAGTCTTTACATTAGTTGCAATTGCTGTAGATAGGTAAGTCTACACCAAACTCTGAATCCAGAAAAATGGGCATGTCTGCAACTAGCTTACCCGAAAAATATATAACCTACTAAATTCGGACATATCTTTTCAAATTGTGTTTAAAAAATCAATCTCTTTTTAAAAATTATTGTACTTTAAGTCCTAGGGTACATGTGCACAATGTGCAGGTTTGTTCCATAGGTATGCACGTGCCGTGTTGGTGTGCTGCACCCATCAACTTGTCATTTACATTACGTATTTCTCTTAACATTATCGCTGCCCCTACCCCCCACCCAATGACAGGCCCCAGTGTGTGATGTTCCCCACCCTATGTCCAGGTGTTCTCATTGTTCAATTCCCACATATGAGTGAGAACATGCGATGTTTGGTTTTCTGTCCTTGTGATAGTTTGCTCAGAATGATGGTTTCTAGCTGCATCCATGTCCCTGCAAAGGACATGAAGACATCCTTTTTTATGGCTGCATAGTATTCCATGGTGTATATGTGCCACATTTTCTTAATACAGTCTGTTACTGATGGACATTTGGGTTGGTTCCACGTCTTTGCTATTGTGAATAGTGCCACAATAAACATACGTGTGCATGTGTCTTTATAGCAGCATGATTTATAATCCTTTGGGTATATGCCCAGTAATGGAATTGCTGGGTCAAATGGTATTTCCAGTTCTAGAACCTGGAGGAATAACCACACTGTCTTCCACAATGGTTGAACTAATTTACACTCCCACCAACAGTGTAAAAGTGTTCCTATTTCTCCACACCCTCTCCAGCATTTGTTGTTTCCTGACTTTTTAATGATGGCCATTCTAACTGGTGTGAGATGGTATCTCATTGTGCTTTTGATTTGCATTTCTCTGATGACCAGTGATAATAAGCATTTTTTAATATGTCTGTTGGCTGCATAAATGTCTTCTTTCTAGAAGTGTTTCTTCATATCCTTTGCCTACTTTTTGATGGGGTTGTTTGATTTTTTCTTGTAAATTTGTTTAAGTTCTTTGTAGATTCTGGATATTAGCCCTTTGTCAGATGGGTAGATTGTAAAAATTTTCTCCTATTCTGTAGGTTGCCTGTTCACTCTGATGGTAGTTTGTTTTGCTGTGCAGAAGCTCTTTAGTTTAATTAGATCCCATTTGTCAGTTTTGGCTTTTGTTGCCATTGCTTTTGGTGTTTTAGTCAGGAAGTCCTTGCCCATGCCTGTGTCCTGAATGGTATTGCTTAGGTTTTCTTGTAGGGTTTTTATGGTTTTAGGTCTAACATTTAAGTCTTTAATCCATCTTGAATTAACTTTTGTATAAGGTGAGGAAGGGATCCAGTTTCATCTTTCTACATATGGCTAGTCAGTTTTCCCAGCACCACTGATTAAATAGGGAATCCTTTCCCCTTTGCTTGTTTTTGTCAGGTTTGTCAAAGATTAGATGGTTGTAGATGTGTGGTGTTATTTCTGAGGCCTCTGTTCTGTTCCATTGCTCTATCTCTCTGTTTTGGTATCAGTACCATGCTGTTTTGGTTACTGTAGCCTTGTAGTATAGTTTGAAGTCAGGAAGCATGATGTCTCCAGTTTTGTTCATTTTGCTTAGGATTGTCTTGGCAATGGAGGCTCTTTTTTGGTGCCATATGAACTTTAAAGTAGACTTTTCCAATTCTGTGAAGAAAGTCAATGGTAGCTTTATGGGGTTGGCATTGAATCTATAAATTACCTTGGGCAGTATGGCCATTTTCACAATATTGATTCTTTCTATCCATGAGCATGAATGCTCTTCCATTTGTTTGTGTCCTCTTTTATTTCACTGAGCAGTGGTTTGTAGTTCTCCTTGAAGAGTTCCTTCACATCCCTTGTAAGCTGGATTCCTAGGTATTTTATTCTTTGTAGCAATTGTGAATGGGAGTTCTCTGTTATTGGTGTATAGGAATGCTTGTGATTTTTTTCACGTTGATTTTGTATCCTGAGACTTTGCTGAAGTTGCTTATCAGCTTAAGATTTTGGGCTGAGACAATGGGGTTTTCTAAATATACAATCATGTCATCTGCAAACACAAACAATTTGACTTCCTCCTTTCCTAATTGAATACCCTTTATTGCTTTCTCTTGCCTGATTGCCTTGGCCAGAACTTCCAACACTATGTTGAATAGGAGTGGTGAGAGAGGGCATCCCCGACTTGTGCCAGTTTTCAAAGGGAATGCCTCCAGTTTTTGCCCATTCAGTATGATATTGGCTGTGGGTTTGTCATAAATAGCTCTTATTATTTTGAGATACGTTTCATCAATACCTAGTTAATTGAGAGTTTTTATCACGAAGTGCTGTTGAATTTTGTCACAGGCCTTTTCTGCATCTATTGAGATAATTATGTGGTTTTGTCATTGGTTCTGTTTATGTGAAGGATTATGTTTATTGATTTGCATGTGTTGAACCAGCCTTGCATCCCAGGTATGAGGCCTACTTGATCATGGTGGATAAGCTTTTTAATGTGCTTCTGGATTTGTTTTGCCAGTATTTTATTGAGAATTTTTGCATCGATGTTCATCAGGGATACTGGTCTAAAATTCTCTTTTGTTGTTGGGTCTCTACCAGGCTTTGGTATCAGGATGATGCTGGTCTCATAAAATGAGTTGGAGAGGATTCCCTCTTTTTCTGTTGATTGGAATAGTTTCAGAAGGAATGGTACCAGCTCCTCTTTGTACTTCTGGTAGAATTCGGTTGTGAATCCATCTGGTTCTGGGCTTTTTTTGGTTGTTAGGCTATTAATTACTGCCTCAATTTCAAAATTTGTTATTGGTCTGTTCAGAGATTCAACTTCTTCCTGGTTTAGTCTTGGGAGGGTGTATGTGTCCAGGAATGTATCCATTTCTTCTAGATTTTCTAGTTTATTTTCATAGGGGTGTTTATAGTATTCTCTGATGGTTGTTTGTATTTCTGTGGGATTGGTGGTGATAGCCCCTTTATCATTTTTATCGAGTCTATTTGATTCTTCTTTCTTTTCTCTTTTATTAGTGTTGTTAGTGCTCTATCAATTTTGTTGATCTTTAAAAAAAAAAAAACAGCTCCTGAATTCATTAATTTTTTGCAGAGTTTTTTCTGTCTTTATCTCATTCATTTCTGCTCTGATCTTAGTTATTTCTTGCCTTCTGCTAGCTTTTGAATTTGTTTGCTCTTGCTCTTCTATTTCTTTAAATTGTGATGTTAGGGTGTCAATTTTAGATCTTTCCTGCTTTCTCTTGTGGGCATTTAGTGCTATAAATTTCCCTCTACACACTGCTTTAAATGTGTTCCAAAGATTCTGGTATGTTGTGTCTTTGTTCCCATTGATTTCAAAGAACATCTATATTTCTGCCTTCATTTCGTTATGTACCCAGTAGTCATTCAGGAGCAGGTTGTTTGGTTTCCATATAGTTGTGCGGTTTTGAGTGAGTTTTGTAACCCTGAGTTCTAATTTGATTGCACTGTGATCTGAGTGATAGTTTTTGGTGATTTCTGTTCTTTTATGTTTGCTGAGGAGTGCTTTACTCCCAACTATGTGGTCAGTTTTGGAGTAAGTGCGATGTGGTGCTGAGAACAATGTATATTCTGTTGATCTGGGGTGGAGAGTTCTGTAGATGTCTATTAGTTCCACTTGCTGCAGAGCTGAGTTCAAGTCCTGGATATCCTTGTTAACTTTCTGTCTTGTTGATCTGTCTAATATTGATAATGGGGTGTTAAAGTCTCCCATTATTATTATGTGGGAGTCTAAGTCTATTTGTAGGTCTCCACAAGAGACCTCCACGGACTTGCTTTATGAATCTGGGTCCTCTTGTATTGGGTGCGTATACAGTTAGGATCATTATCTCTTCTTGTTGAATGGATCCCTTTACCATTTTGTAATGGCCTTCTTTGTCTCTTTTGATCTTTGTCAGTTTAAAGTCTGTTTTATCAGAGACTAGGATTGCAACCCCTGCTTTTTTTTACTTTCCATTTGCTTGGTAGATCTTTCTCCATCCATTTCTTTTGATCCTATGTGTGTCTCTGCATGTGAGATGGGTCTACTGAATACAGCACAGTGATGGGTCTTGACTCTATTCAATTTGCCAGTCTGTGTCTTTTAATTGGGGCATTTATCTCATTTACATTTAAGGTTAATATTGTTATGTTTGAATTTGATCCTGTCATTGGGCAAGAGTGTCCCGATTTTCCAGATACAGTCTGTCATGGCTTCGCCTGGCTAGGAAAGGGAAATTCCCCTACCCCTTGCGGCCAGCTGAGGCGATGCCCTGCCCTGCTTCGGCTCACCCTCTGTGGGCTGCACCCACTGTCCAACCAGTCCCAATGAGATGAACCAGGTGCCTCAGGTGGAAATGCAGAAATATCCCGTCTTCTGGGTCGATCACACTGGGAGTGGCAGACCAGAGCTGTTCATGTCCGGCCATCTTGGAACAGAGCCTAGAATATCACCTCTTTAAAAGCAACACACCTATGAAAGTTTCAGTAATAAGAAAATAAAACTATTGAATTTTCCATGCTTTAAAAATAAATAATTGGAGATGGTAAAATTTTCCTATTTTTTACACTACAATATAGACGTTTCTAACAGCAGAAATGCAAATGTGCTGAAATAGATCTGAAATTTTATGTATATTTTAAGATTGAAAATCATTCATCCATTCATTCATTCACACATGTTGTTGATCATTTATGATGTGCCAGGTACTAGGCTGGGTTGGTAACATCTAAAACAAATTAGAAGTGCTTCCTCAGGAAGGCTACAATCCGGTGAAGCAGACACAGTCATTAACAAATATTTACAAATAATTCTATTAGGGGACCAGTGACTGACAGCTATGCAAAACAGATAATAACCAATTCTACCTATTTGGGCAGGGAGTGGTGGATTCACAAGGGAGGTGAGACCTTCTGATTCCTTGAGGAGTCAGAAATTTACCCTTAGAAGAAACTGGGAAAAGGGCTTCCCTTAAGACAAGTATATACTTACGACATTGAACTAGAAGGCACTTGTTCAGAGAAGGGCATAGAGGTAGTTCAGCTGGAACAAGGAAGGAGAGGTGGTACATTTGTCCACAAAGAGAGAGATTTATTATGAGAAATTGGCTCACATAATTATGAAAACTGAGAAACCCCAGAATATGCTGCCTGTAAATTGGAGACCTCAGAAAGTCTGCGGTATTATTCAGTGCAAGTCCCAAAGCTTGAGAACTAGGGAGAACCAATTGTGCAAGTGGCCATTTGTGTAAATTGCATCCTGTGGGCAGGAGAAGATGATATGAGATGTCCTAGCTCAAGCAATGAGGCAGGAAAAAAAGGGGGCAAATTCCTCCTTCCTCCACTTCTTGTTCTATTCAGGCCCTCAAAGGACTGGATGATGCCTACCCATACTGGGAGGGCAATTCACTTTACCGAGTCCACTGATTAAGAGTTTAATCTTATGCAGAAACAGTTTTATAGGCACATCCAAAAATAAGATTCAATCTCGGCACCCCTTGGCCCAGTCAAGCCAATAGATTAAATTAGCCATCACACTTTTGTAGCAGAGACTCTCAGTGCTCTGCCAGATCTTTTAAATGTTTCAGTGGGTTCTGTCTTACATCCAACTGCCAGTATCTTCATCTCTGTATCTCAAGTCCAAATTGTGCAGTCTCAGTTCTTAAGCAGAACAGACAAAAAATGCCAGATAATTAATACCCCTAGAAGTAGCCCTCAACTAAAATCTCATGAGAGTTGGTGTACTCAGCATTCTCTCCCCTTGGGTTGCGTAATTCTGCAACGAATGGTTTGATTCACATCCTTTGCTACCTACCTTCCCATTAATGAATCACTTCTCTATACTTTCAGTTATCTATTGACATATAATGAATCACCCTCAAATCAAACCACTTAATGAGTTAAAATGACAGCAATATTTATTATGTCACGAATTTGTGATATGTACATATTTAGAAAGTACAGCTTGTCTCTGTTCTACTTGATGTCAGGTGGAGCAGCTTCAAGGTTAGGGCTGAATCTTCTTTCACTCTCATGTTAGTACCTAGTCCAGGGAGACTTGAATATGTGGAGGCTAAGAGAGCTCTGTCTCTACTGGTCTCCGCAAATGGGCTCTCCAGCAAGGTTACTTTAAGGGACCTGGACTTCTTATAAGTTAGTTTAGGGCTCTGAAGGTCTGTGTCTCAAAAGATAGTACCAGCAAAAATCATGATGTGTTATCATTTTTTGCTACATTCTATTCATGAGATTGAGTCATCAATCCTTAGCCAAGGAGAAGGGAATAGAATTTGAAAGCAATGTCGAAGAACTCGGACATGTTTTCAAACTACCACATCTTTATTTCTTGCACTTGCTCTCAAAATTTTTTTTTTTTTTTTTTTTTTTTTTTTTCTTTTCAGGGCTAGCTTTTGCAGGAAGCCAAACTGAAAAAAACTCCCAAGCTGATTTCTCCGGACTAAAATCCTTTGCCTGAATTTTACGGTTACGTTCCAAAGCACCTACCATACAACTTCACCTGCATATTCAACAAAAGGCACCTTAAATTAAACATGCCCAGAGCTGAACTCATTATTCCAAGCCCCACACCATACACAAACTAAATAACAGGCAGCTCTTTTTCTCATGCTCCCCACATCAATGAATGGCAGGATCACTCACTCAATTCAAACACAAAACCTGAGCTTTATCCTGGAACCTTCTTTCTGTCTTCAACTTTGCTGTCACTCTCCAAACTCTATTATTTCTGAGTGCTAACTAGTTGTGAACCAGGCCACTGTCCTTTGTCACTTGGAATACTGAGATTGTTTTCTAACTGGCCTTAGGGCTTCAGGAAGCCAAACTCTAATTTATTTTTTTCTCACAGCAGCCCAAATAAGCTTCTTAAATTGTAAAAATAATCCTGTCTTTCATTGTGTAAATCCTTCAATGAATCCCCACTGGTTTTTAAATGAAGTCCAAACTTTTTAGCACAATTTTAGTAATTATTATATAGTTATTAATATTTTTAATATTTCCATTGATTATTTCTCAGCAGGGATTATTCTCTATCTTATTCATCTTTGCTTTCCTGAAGAGATACATACAAACACACATATAGGTATGTGTATAAATATATAAGTATATATATTCATATGTGTACGTTTATTAAACAAACATATAAGTACATACATTTGTTATAAATACAAATATATAAGTACATATATATGTACAGATATATGTATGTACTTTTATATTTGTTCATCATTACTTTTATTGTTAATAATGTCTGCTATACACCAGTTATTCAAATTTTGAGTTAAAATTTCTCTCATATATCAATATGTGTACTTATATATTTGTTTAATAAGTAAATGAAACAATAATATCCAAAACCCTATTAATTTGTATTCAAAAAGAGCAACATACATAGGCTTGTGTTTATGAAATTACCCATAATTTCAGGGCAGGTGAATGGGAGGATTCATGAATTAGAAGACTGTAAGAACACTTCAAGGTGAAAAGAGAAGATCTTACACATGAAGGAGTTATAAAGAATGACAACAGAGCAGTCAAAGCCCAAGCTAACTAGTCATTCTATGAAGATAAGTTAATTTGGAGTTGCTGCTCAAACACTTAAAGCTCTATATTTTCTTATCTACAGATCTAGAATGTACCAATTTTCATAACATTTCAGTTTTATGGAGTCATAAAAATCAAGGAAGATTAAATAGGTAATAGGTACTTTGAAAAAATATAAAATGTTACACAGTTGCATGATAGTATGATTATCTTATGATTAACATAATGAAATTCAATAATAACAACAAGATCCACAATATCAAAATCATAGTAAAATGAATCAGGCTTACTCTACATATGGATGCTGAATTTTTGTACCCACCAGAGGACATAGAATGTTGAGAAGGCTCATAATCAGAGATCATAATGAATACTCTCAGATTTTTACAGCTGTAAAGCAAATCAGCAAACACTTAGTGGCTTCAAACAATATTGGTTTATTACATCTCATGATTTTGTGGGTTAACTGGGCATCCCTTTGTTCACCCTCCTGCTTCATGTGTTATAACTGGAATCACTCATGTTGCAGCATTATTCTGGGAGCTAAACTGGCACTGGAACATCCAAAATGGCTAGGCTCTTATCTCCCAGAATCTTTCTCTACATGCCTTTCATCTAATTCAACTTCTTGGAGTTTGAAGGCTGGCTTTTAAGAAGAAGCATTCTAGAAGGACCTGCCCCACATGCAAGTGTATAAAAAGCTTCTGCTTGCATCATGTTTGCTAATATCCTATTGGTCAAAGCAAGTTATGCAAATAATGTGTAGGGGACCACACAAGTGCCTGAGTGATAAAAGGTTCATTGATTGCTACAGATTAGCAGTCTACCACAGCCTAACAGAACTACCCATCTAAAGAGGACAATGTAGAGGTTGAGTTCGAGCTCTGAAGCCAAACTACTTGTGTTAAAATCCTATGTAATTATTGGTAAGATTTTTACATTTTCCAAGTCTGTTTTCATATCTTTCAAGCAAGGAGGCTTAAAGAGATGGTCCATGCAAATTAATGGAACAGAGTCTGAAACGGTTTTAGGCCATGTTCATCATTACTTTTTATTATTAATAGTGTCTGCTATACTCCATTTGTTCAAATTTTGAATTAAAATTTATCTCATGTATCAATTACGAAAATGACAATGCATGCCTTTCTACTGCAAATGATAACTTTCTATATTTTTGAGGGGACTGTGGGGTGAGAGGCCTGTAATTACATAAATAAATTTGGTGTATGACTTGGTCAGAAGTGATGAAGCAGTGCCTCATTTATATTTGTCCTTAATTGCAGGTTCCGGTGTGTGGTCTACCCTTTTAAACCAAAGCTCACTATCAAGACAGCGTTTGTGATTATTATGATCATCTGGGTCCTAGCCATCACCATTATGTCTCCATCTGCAGTAATGTTACATGTGCAAGAAGAAAAATATTACCGAGTGAGACTCAACTCCCAGAATGAAACCAGTCCAGTCTACTGGTGCCGGGAAGACTGGCCAAATCAGGAAATGAGGAAGATCTACACCACTGTGCTGTTTGCCAACATCTACCTGGCTCCGCTCTCCCTCATCGTCGTCATGTATGGAAGGATTGGAGTGTCACTCTTCAGGGCTGCAGTTCCTCACACAGGCAGGCAGAACCAGGAACAGTGGCACATGGTATCCAAGAAGAAGCAGAAGGTCATTAAGATGCTCCTGATTGTGGCCCTGCTTTTTATTCTCTCCTGGCTGCCCCTGTGGACTCTAATGATGCTCTCAGACTATGCTGACCTTTCTCCAAATGAACTGCAGATCATCAACATCTACATCTACCCTTTTGCACACTGGCTGGCATTTGGCAACAGCAGTGTCAACCCCATCATTTATGGTTTCTTCAACGAGAATTTCCGCCGTGGTTTCCAAGAAACTTTCCAGCTCCGGCTCTGCCAAAAAAGAGCAAAGCCTATGGAAGCCTATGCCCTAAAAGCTAAAAGCCACATGCTCATAAACACATCTAATCAGCTTGTCCAGGAATCTACATTTCAAAACCCACATGGGGAAAACTTGCTTTATAGGAAAAGTGCTGAAAAACCCCAACAGGAATTAGTGATGGAAGAATTAAAAGAAGCTACTAACAGCAGTGAGATTTAAAAAGAGCTAGTGTGATAGTCCTAACTCTACTATGCATTAGAAATTTAAATACCATTGTTTTTTGTGGCTTTGCACTTCAATTTTTTCAAAGAATGTTCTAAATAAAACATTTACTGAAAGCCCTCTCTGGCAAAAAAAAATTTAAAAAAACAAAAATGGTCATAAGATCATAAACAATCTTATGTTGTATAAAAATACAGAGTGACTTATACATGTTTGCATGAATAAATGTATTTCTAGAGAACAGTTTACAAAGCCTCATCTTTCCCAACTTAACCCTTTGTGTATGCGTCAAATCAAGCCCGCGCATGCGCACACGTGCTTGTATGTATTTTCCCAACATGATGATGATGAACAGTGAGTGCTTTGCATGAAACTATATTTTACCAATTTCTCCTTTGGTTTTGGATTTAAAATTTTGGACTACAAGACTATTTCTCTGCTTATGTTTATAAACTGTACTTAGTTTTCTAAGAAATACATTCAATCACATGAAATTCTCTGCTGTTGTTTTTTCTCATTTCCATTACTTAATTTGGGTTAGTCTACAAAGGCAAGATATTATAGGTCCATGGGTAATTATGTCACAGCGGCCCTCACTTCCTGTGTGTCAGAACTGTAGTAGCAAATAAAGGGACACGTTTCTTTATATTTAAAAGTTGATTTTTTAAAAAGAATACAAAGGAATTTTTGTTGGCTTTTTCATATTTTCATAAGTGAAGTTTGTGCCCTAGTTGAACACACATTTGTTACAGAGCTGATTGAGGACCCCAACTTGACCCCTTTCTCTAACAGAATCTCTGATGTAAAGAAGCAAACACTTTAATAATGCAGCAGTTAGCAGAAAAACAGCACCTTTCTTTGAAGTATTTAATCATAGATGTTTAACAATTATCATAAAACTCTCACATAGAGAGCAAGAACAATTATTTCAAATCTTCTACTGAGCACATTTAAATCCAGCACCCTGGGTTTAGTAAATTAGTATTATTGTTTAAAAAAGAATTGACAACCCCTGAATTCAGCTATGTTAAAATCATGTAATGATAATGGTTGTCACGGTTAGCTTTTATTCTAGGGTGAGGTAAATCTCTAGAAAATTGGACATTATAACAAAATAAACAGTTTGGCAAATAAAAATAAACTACTAGAAGTGAAGCTATTATACTTTTTTTTCAGTCATTTTTGCGGTTCAAACTAAAAGCATTTGCTGTGGTTTGGATGTGGTTCGTCTCCACCAAAACTCATGGTAAAATTTGATTCCCAATGTGGCAGTGTGGGGAGCTGGAATCTAGAGGGCAGTGATCAGATCATGGGGGCACTACCCCATTAATAGATTAATGTCATTTCACAGGAGTGAGTTCTCGCTCTTGTGAACCTGGATTCATTATGGCAAAAGTGGGTTGTTGTAAAGCAAGGTCCTTCTCATGTTTTGTGTCTGTTTGGACATGCCTGCTCACTTTTCTGCTTCTCTGCCATGTTGTAACACAGAACATGGCCCTCACCAGAAGCCAAGCAGATGCCAGTGCCATGGTCTTAAACTTTCCAGTCACCACAGTTGTGAGCCAAATAAACCTCTTTTCTTTGTAAATTACAAAGCCTCAGAATTCCGTTATAGCAACACTAAATGGAATAAAACTTTTCCACATTCTACTCTTTTGAGAAATAATTGTAGAGTTTTTTGTTTGTTTGTTTTTGGTTTTGCTTTTTTTTTTTTTTTTTTTTTTTTTTGAAGTCTCTCTCTGTTGCCCAGGCTGGAGTGCAGTGCTGTGATCTTGGATCAATGCAATCTCTGCCTCCCAGGTTTAAGGAATTCTCCTGCCTCAGCCTCCCCAGTAGCTGGGATTACAGGTGCACACCACTGTGCCTGGATAATTTTTGCATTTTATTTTCTTTTTTTGAGATGGAGTTTCACTTTGTCACCCAGGCTGGAGTGCAGAGGCATGATTTCAGCTCACTGAAAGCTCTGCCTCCCAGGTTCACACCATTCTCCTGCCTCAGCCCCGCGAGTAGCTGGGACTACAGGCACCTGCCACAGCGCCTGCCACCACGCCCGGCTAACTTTTTGTATTGACAGGGTTTCACCGTGTTAGCCAGGTGACCTCGTGATCTGCCTGCCTCGGCCTCTGAAAGTGCTGGGATTACAGGTGTGAGCCACCATACCTAACCAATTGTTGAGTTTCTATTTGAATTGAGCTGTGTGTTATTTGAATATACAAGTGTTATTTCCTGCAATTATGAAGGGCAACTCTTAAAAGTTGTAGATATAGAATTTGACCATATATTCTTTTATCTTGATTTACTGAAATACTACTTACAGTTAGTGTACTCAGACAGAGAAGATTATTTTCATATAGACTATCACTTTCTTATGGGCCTCCTCATATGGATACGCATTCTATCAGCACTTGAAACTCATTTTCACTAACTTGCATGTCCTCCCATTCATCTACCTTCTTTTATCACTTTCTATTCCCTGTTTCATCTTCCCTAATGGTGACAAAACTCTCCTTACTGCATCTTATCCCGACATTCAGTCTTGCATCTTTTAATTATTTCTATAGTTGGCAAAGGTATCTTCCTGAATTAGAGGACTACTTTGCTTTCTTTCATTAATAAATAATTTGACAAATATAAGTACATCTCTGGGAGTCTATTATATTTTTTATAATAGCTCTCTTTTTTTTTTTATAACAGGCTCTCTGACTCTTAAAAGATGTGCATTTTAAAAGCCCACCATGGCCTTGCCCTCATCTCCTGGTTATATCTCTCTGACACAAACTGTTTTCAAAACTCAAGTCAGAAATGGTCAGCCTAGATTGTTATGTTTTTTGTCATTTATTACTTATTCACTGCTTTACTCCCTTATTTGACTGTCTATCTTTTGTCCAAGATCTGTTAAAAAGTCACGTCTCTCAGAAAGTCTGCATTCTTACGGCAGAAATTGTTACTCTTTTCTAAGTACTATGTACCTCTTATATATGACAACCTAACTTGTAATTTCTTTGTCTTGTGCTTGCAACTAGAATATAAATTTCTTAAGGGCATGATGAATTAGGCCTTACTTATCTTTAGATCCCCTACAGTGTGGCTCACAGTAATAGGCAGTAGATATATACATGCTAGATAATTGCCACAGGCAAAAACCATCTGTCATCTTGCTTAAAAGGAATGTCTAATTCTGAACAAGTAGAATTTTGCATACAGATTCTAGTACACCTGTTACAGACAAAGGAGAGCTTTTCTATAAATTGAAACAATAAAATAACAGATAAAGAAAGCTAAAATGTCTTGAACATGCATAGTCACTAAGATTTAGATTATATAGTCATACATGATTTGCTACCTAATAGTTTAGCCCTTTATACAAACAAATTTCCTATGCCTGAATTTTCTTATCTGTAATATGGGAATAACAATAGCTCCTTCCTCCTGGTCTGCTGTGAGTATTAAATGATGGGGGGAAGTTTGCATAATAAAAAGCAGAGAAACTATAACTTAGCAAAGGCTAAATGATTGTTGCTGTCTTGGTGATAGTGAAAAGTATTAAAGGAGTAGTAGTTATAATAGTCTCAAGCCCATGCTAGGTTATATTGTAGATGTTTGATAACCCTCACTAGAGCACTCCAAGGTATGTATTATTCCCATTTTACAGATGAGAGTACCTAGTCTAAGAGAAGCTGGTTTTACCCAAAGTCATGAAGCTTGAAAGTGGTACAAACAAGTTTGTAACTCAGAAACATGTAATTCCAAAATGTTATTTTTCCTTCTATGTCATATCATCTGTGTGTTATGATGAACTTAGTTTGGACTACCTCTTAACCACTTCTTCAATCACCATTTTTCTGATTGTAAAACAACATTTGGGCTACTTGTAGAATTTGTGAGAAACACAGAATAGTACAAAGAAGAGATTAAAATTACACATAACCCCTCTAGCAAGAAGAAAAAAAAACACTGAAGACACATACTTCAACTTACACTTAGTTCAGCACCCTTTATATAAAATTTGCCAATAGTGATTATTTCCTAAAGTAGATTCCTAGCAAGAAAATTACTAGGAAGAGCATTTTTGTAATACTTTTGATATGTACCCTAAATTATTTTTAAACTTTTAATATAAAATTCCAATTTTGTGGTTGATCATCTCAGAGTATCCGTAACACATAAGTTTCCCTTCAACTTTGCTACTTTAATATGTGAAAATCATTTACATTTGTTGTTTTGATTACTAGTGTAGTTGAACGTTGCTCTGTTTCTTACTAATTTATATTTCTTCCTCTTCCTATTTGGCCATTTTCCCTGTGTATTTTTTGTTTTATTTTGTATTTTTATTCATTGCTATGCATTTCTGTATTTAAGGCATAGCACCTTCAATAACAGGCAGCACAATCTTTTTAAAAAACAAGTTAGATGTCACTTTCTCATTTCAAAGCCATCAATAGCTTCCTTTCAAATTAGGAAAGAAACAAACTCCTAGGCTTACATACGTTTACTTTTTCTGCCCTTGCCTACCTCTTAACCTCATCTTGAACCCAGCACTCATCATTCACACAGACTATCTGTCTCTTCCTCTGACATCGGCCAAGCCCTTTGCTGTCTCTGTATTCTGCACCTGTGTTCTTCCTGCCAGGCTCCCCCATAGCCTTCAGTGTTCAACTGAAACCCCACCTGTGCCTTGCCTATTTCCTCCACAGCACTTCCAACTATCTGCAATAATCTTCAAAATTTATTGAATTACTTGTTTAATATCTATCCCCTTCCAAGAAGCAAAATTCATAAAGGCAAGGATTTTTGTCTTGTTTATCATTGTATCATTCAGTGTCTAAGAGAGTGCGTGACTCATAATGGACACATGATAAATATTTGAGCAAATTAACTGGTCGCAAATATTTACCAGTTTTTAATTTTCACTAAGTTTATTCATGAATATGAGTTATATTTTATTTTTAAATATTGAAATAATTCAGAACATAATAGAAACATTAAATAATATACAAAAGCAGATGAAATAAAATAAAATAAAATAATTCTTTATTCTGCTGTAACTTACTGATAATCATTCTTGCTGTCATTTGGGGGCAATGGTACATGCTTTCTTTCACTATGATTCTGGGGCATATGTTTTATTATCTTTTTATGTACTTAGTGTATCAAGGACATGTTTTACGTTGTTTATTAGTCATCGGAATATTTTGTTTGTTTTCATTCCACTTCCATTATTTATTAAGCTTCTTCCCTGTACCTGGAAATGTAAATTATTTCTTACATTTTATAAAATGATATAGTTATTTGCACCGTGTAAAATACTGGGCATAGTTATAATCATCTTAGAACAGATTTCCAAGAAATTCAATTCCTTGGCCAAAATGCAAGTACATTTCTTAGTGTTTTAATGCAGACTGTCAAATATCTCTTTAAAAGATTTTTAACATTCACTTAGTGCTGTAAAACTTTGTTCACTCACTTACTCTCAAATACTACACATTCCATAAAACCAGTTGTTTTGCCAAATTGATAAGAAAGAACTTGTATCCTTATGGGTATTGCTACACAACTGAACATTAAAAAATAATCTACATTTAACTTGATTCATTTGTATTCATTTGTCTTCACTTGTATTCATTTGCATTTTCTTCTTAGTCAATTCCCTCTTCATGGTTTTTGCCCACATCTCCATTTATTTTTCTTAGCAACTTGTAAACACATTCCCTGATTCAAGACATTAATCTTTGACCAGCAGGCAGATAGCCACATTTTCCCTTATTCAACATGTGCCTGTATACACATGTATGCATATAGATATGAGGGTAAAGACCTCAGCCTTGAAAGTTTTTTTTTTTTTTAAAGTGGCTTAAAGAAGATAGATAATTATATCTCTCTCATAAAGTTATACCTGATGAGAGTGGTCTAGTTTTGCACAAACTTTATTTAGAAACCCAGATTCCTTCCTTCTGATTGCTAGAGAGCAGGAATCAACAAACCACCCTCAAATCTGGCCTTCCACCACGTTTTGGCAAGTACAGTCTTATTAGAACACAGCTCTGCCTATTTTATTTATAGATTGTCTATAGCCGCTTTTGTGCTACAATAGAGGATCTGAGTAATTGACATAGAGACTATCTAGTTAACAAAACCTGAAATATGTATTATC